ATAAGTATAAAAAAAATAACAAGCTATGCAAGAAAAAGCTATGCAAAAAAAAGATATAATACATTTTATTTATTATAAATTTCTTTATTATTTATTCTAAATCGTGTATTTATTTATTTATTTATTTTAAATTGTATTTTTATTTGTTAGTCTAAATTAAAAAAAAAAACACCTCCAATGATTTCTCTACTCAAAAATACAAGATCGATTTTTTATTATTGAAATGTGGGTAATCAAAAACTTTATTTTTTCTTTTTTGATAACTTTATAAATCAAAATTGCATTATTTAAGAAATATTATGAATAATGAAACAATTAATTTAATTACAACGTAAAACATGACACATGTTCATTTTAAAGCAAGGTAAAACCTAAAAGTCAGTATAACATAATTAAAGATGTATTTAAAAAAATTATTTTAGATACATCATTTATATTTAATTTATATTCATATATTTTTTTTATATAAAATTACATAACAAAGTAAAATATTTATTTCTTCCATTTACATCATTTAATTAAATAAAAATTACAAATACAAGACTTATTGCTCAACATAACATTGCACATAACATTACAAGGTAATACAATCAACTTAGAATATTTGTTACTACTTCTTTTAAATATTTATTCTCAACTAATACAATTAGCATATTTTAAGAACATATAAATATCATCTTTATGTCAAACCGAATATTTGTTTCACTACCTACTGATTTCTTCATTTTTTTATTTATTAGAATATTAATTCTATTAACTAGTAAACTAGTTTCTCCAATTATATATTAATAAGGAACTAGTTACATTAACCAAAAAATTATAATCTTTATTTGCCTATAATTCATGACATTAGTCCTATTAATTTAGATAATTAGTTTCTTTAATTTATAACTAGTTTCTTTAATTTTTCATTAATCAAGACACTAGTCTCATTTATCAAAGTAACTAGTTTCTCCACTAATTTAACTTCTATCAAATAACATTTAGATACATTTAAGAAAAATTATTATCACAATTTAAATAATATTTTAGTTTTAAAATGTCAAGTACCTATCTAATATTTGAAATGATCCTTTACTGTTAAATAGGTCTTGCAGCCTCTCTTTTATCAGCAAAAACAATATTATTTGCTATTCAATTATCAACTTATTTCAAAATTTAACTCCGTAAACAATCATTTTAATCCTAACTTAAAATGATTTGACATAATTCTACATCTTTTAAATTAATCATCATTAACTATTTTATCCATATTTCTTATAATTTCCATCATTTAAAACTTATATTAAGAGTAATTCTAAACAAATTTTAAAGTTAGCTACTTCTAACCAACTAACTTAACTTCTAACCAAATGATTATTAATATTGTAACCATACATGAAGTTATAAAATTCGGTTTCATGCATAGTTTGTTTATTCAAAAATCTAAAATACTAGGCTAACACATCAAAAAATACTCATTATTGCAATATCTAAAAAATATCTAACAAAATTTAATTTAACTTCTTCAATTATTAAATCATATCGGAAGTTCTATAACTTTAATTTAGTTTTATAACTCTAAATTAAGCAAGATTAGTTTTGTTGAAAAGATAACATCCCTGACTTCAACTTTGATGAGAAGTTTATTTCAATTTTTTTTCATCTTCACGCTCTTTGATGAGAAGTTTATTTCAATTTTTTTTCATCTTCAAGCTCTAAACTCAAATGAAAGTTGGGTGATAAAGCTGTCTAGTTTTTTAATTTTTTGCCTTTGACATGCAACAAAGTATTTTTATTTATTTTCTCACTATTCAAAAAGCAAGTATTCCTCCTTTATATATCTTATATCGTTATTAAACATAACACCACAATAATTAATTAGTTTTTTTTTCTCGTATCCTTTTTGAAATAACTATATTCAATCTTTAACATTCCTTCATTAATAACGTTTCAATATTACATAAAAATTCCATAATTCCTTACAAAATTGCAATGTTTATGATTCAAAGCAAAACCAATCTTTCCACCATAGACTAAACACAAAATCTGTTTTTATTTTCAATTGAACCTCTATATTTCAACACTTATAATAAGTACAAATAAACAATATTCTTGCATTGTTTTAATTTCTTTTAAAAAATTTCCCTTTTATGGCTGACACCACCACCTTCAATAATATTAGGATTTTTTTTCATTATTCTAAGTTTCTTTGTTCCATTCTCGTCCTAATTATATCAAACAAGATAAATTTCTCATTTCCCCTAAATTTTTCCATGAACCCTAATATAGAATTTGCAATTTAGACATCAATTCTTAATTGTATTGAATATAATTTGTGAAATAAAGTCTAAAGTCTCTTACTAGGTGATAAAGTGAGTTTTGATTCTCAACCAATTAAAATTTCTCGACACTTCTTATTTCTCCTTCTTGATCAACTCCTTTCTCTCTCCAAATGCCCAAATCACTTTCATTTATTCTCTCTATATTCTTGCTTTGATGTTGTTTCCTTACTACTTAACCTAAATCTTACTCAAACCTCTTTAATTTATAGTATTTCCACTAAATTTTGGTAAATAAAATTGAGAAATATTCTCCCCCGTATTCTGTTTTGCTGCCGGCTTAAGAGAGGAAAAAAATGGGATATATTTATAGTTTAATCTATTGACATTTATATATTAACCCCATTTTGCTTAGTTATTTCATTTAGTCCCTAATTTTTCTATTATCTAACAATTAGTGTTGTGTTCTCTTTTCATTTCTTGTTATTCAATTCCATATCCTTAATTTAATTTAACTCATTTTATCTCCAAGTTAGGATTTAAAATTTCAAAAAAAATTAACCGAAGGTTTACACCTTCTTTCTCATCTCTAAGAACTCAAGGGTTAAAATGTGATGGAAATAAAATTTGAAAACTGAAATGAAAAAACCAGGAACTATAGAAATCAAACATATAATAATGGAAACACATGAAATACTAAAAAGAACTTTTATTTATTTATTAAAAACATAATAAAAATCCATTATATTTTGCGAGGGACTATCATACTTAGATGAAGAGTACAAACCCCATGCATTTTAGTTTATAGTACTAATAAAAATGATAATAATTTATATTTATATTATTTTATGTCTTTACCAATCTAAATTAATAAATTTAATTATGGATAATTTAAAACATCAAGTTAAAAAAATAATAGTGTTACAAAAAAAAGAAGAAGAAAAAGAGAGGATTTGAACATTAAAAAAATACACACACTTGACACATAATATTGGGCTATTCTCAAATAAGTGTTAATATTGCTCAGATTTTTCTTAGAAGGCAAGACCAATAAGATGATATAATTCATGACATTGTTTATAAAATAACCATTTATTTGATAATAATTGCATATATATAATATAAACAAAGACTTATTTTTTATCCATCTCAAGAAAATACTTTCATTGTTTTACATATACTACATTTTTTTCTCACATTTTTTACAAAGTGTATGATACAAACACAATTATTTTATTTCATCCTATTTTGACACATCAAATAATTTAAGGCTTTAACCATGTAATTATATGGTAAAATTCATTTTAAAAAATTAATTTAAGCTAAGAACCAATCTAAAAATCTATTATTTACCACAAAGAGAGACCTAATCAAATAATGATTCAATAATATGAACGAAATTATATTTTTATAGTACATGGACCAAAAGGTATTGATACTCAAAACACAGGGAGGCCAAAACGCCCAAAAGCACCATTTTAAACGGTGCGTTTCGACCACCGCATATGCATTTCCTCATTCAAAGCATATTTGGGGTGAAACCGTTGGCATACAGTCCCCAACACCATACCTAACAATCAATGCCTCGACTTTGGCTAGCAATTTCTGGCTTTATCCTGTTACAGCTCTCCACCATGGTTTTTTGATTCTTGAGGAACAAAATTCGTAGGAAAAGCCTTTAAGAAAAGCTTTTGAAAACTTATGTTATAAAGATTTTAAAAAAGTGAAACAATTTTCTTTGAAATAATTCCGAAAGAATTGCTAATTTCTGCCAAAATAATTCCAAACTAATGCAGCAGAAAAAATCTATACGGGGTTATGAAAATATCCAAATAAAAACGGAATTGCATCTGGTAATATTCTTCTCAAGTTACAGCCAATTATCAAAAGAATTGACAATCGTATCCATTCTCTGATTCCAGATTCAGCATGGCAAAACAGTTACCAGATTCAGAAGAGCGAAAATGGCAAGTATAGGTAGCAGCAGGGAGAGCATATCAGGGCAAGATAAGCAGTGAGGATAGCTTGCTTGGAGCTGCATGCATTAAAAATGCATTGAAGATTCACCAGTTTAAAACTCTAAAGGAGCATCTCTTTCACACACAACAGAATACTAAAATATTCAACAAATTTACTTGTTTTGAATAACAGTTATTTCAACTATTACAGGCTACAATGTAAACCATCTGTGTGTAGTATGATATATCTCCAGTTTCCTCAGACAGCAAGGACTATATTCCATGCCTCACTCGATCTGTCCTTTGACTATAGGCCTAATCATCTTCTCTATCGTTTGTATTCTAGAGGTTCTGTTGCTGACATTGTGAAATAACTGTTGCAGGTGTGTACTGCAGATGGATCGCCCAGCTGGTGGTAATAGCACAAGAAATCATAGTAGTTAAGAGATGGAAGATTTAGTGAAAATGTTGTCCTGGCCTATATGGCAACAGATTGAAATGCCACCATATATTTATACACGTGCAAATCACCTCTGCACCAGAGTCATTTGTAGACTGCATATAGGATTCTGCTCAAACTAGTTATACCACCAAGTAAATGCTTTAGCTCTGCTGACGACATTCTTGCCTTTCCTGTTTTCTAATATCTCGGACTACATAGAAAAACTATCTAGACAGGGTGGGTTGAACTTCAGGGATGCTTTTAAAGCTTTGGAGCTACAGGCTGTAAGACATTTCAGGTGTAACAAAAAATTTTCTACCTATCTTACCAGACAGGTTTTTCCCTTGCAACCCAAAACACTACTTGTATAGAAGAAAATGGACTTGATTGCACTCTCTATGAATGTAAAAGATCAATGTTGAGGTGACAGATGCAATACATGCAACTATGTAAATTAAGGATCAACCTTGGGAAGCAGATGCAACATGTATTTGCAATGTACTGACGCTGACATACACGAAGTCTCCACGGAACAATCAATCATGAAAGTCAATCAAGTGTTTTAACTTACACGAATAATGTCAATGAAGGCAGCATCACTTAAAATCACAGGAAGGCAACATCTTAACCCATCGCATGACCTGCAATTTGGAGGAAATCTACTCATAAATTGATGCTGAACTAAAATCTACAGCCAAATATTTGAGATAGGAATAGATATTCAGCTAACCTTGGACTTTCTGAGAGCCTATGATAGCACAAAATTATGTGTTTCAGAAGCCTTATGAAGGGGATTTTAGCTAGCTGTCCCTCTTCAGCAAGCTTTAAGACCATGCTCCCTAAAACACGGACCAAGGCAAAAAATCTCTCCGCTACAGTACAGCAATACCTTAACCCTTCTTCATTTATTAAAATTTTGTAAACAATATAAGTCGCAACCTGTTTGGTCATACACGTTACAAATTGCGTAAGTCCTCATTGTAACCAGTTTTATCCTAAACTTTAAAGAAGAGTTCAAGTTGCAGGAAAAGAAATGAGCCTGAAGAGCATCATGCTAGAAATTGATTTCTCAGCTTTTCCAGTAACATCATATATAGCTGGAACCTTTGCCTTTCCATTAAAAATTTTCATTGTTATCCCCTTTCTCAAAAATATTTTCTCAAATATGTCAGTTGTGTTGGTATCAGAACACAGCACATGATAACAGCTCAGAAGCCATAACTATGCAATAGAATGGTGGAATGCGGTTGACACAACTAATTTGAAGTATGAAATGTTCGAAGTCAAGGCACTCACTGTTTTTGACAATACATCTCCCACCTCCATGGAGCGTATGCAACAAGGAAATACTTCAGATTCTAGAAGGAAGTTAATGACATTTGGGTCATCAACCTGCAGAAACAAAAAGATTCAAAATTTAATTTCACTTGTTTTAGGAAAAATCTAATTTATTTAAGGTATGAGATAATTAGTTTCTTTTTCCACATAATACAATCACAACCAAAAAGCTTCAATGGGTTGTGTTTTGGTTGCATTTTCAGTTTATTTAAATGACTTTTCCGTATCATGCCAACAATGTATGCTAAAGACCATAGTCAGGCAAATATCAAGCTCAATCTCCAGAAGGGCACCTTGGCTAGAGCACCAATAACACTCAAGCTGGCAAGCCTTATAAATTGATGAGGCCTTTCCTTCTTTGTGTTGTTTAGAAGGGGGTAAAGATACAGAGGTAGTTTAGCTGCGAAACAATGAAATTCAATTAGCAGTGTCTACTTATCTAAAATATCAACTAACAGAAGCATTCAATTTCAATCAGTAACACTCAACGTTAGTGAAATCAATCTTATTTGGAACATGCAGGATTGGAAAAACCATAACAATCTATCTATTTCATGGAGCAGGATATCTATGAATTTTAACAGCTCTTGTTCTGCGTATGTTTTAGAATATACCCTTTACAAATAAGTTGCAAGACCAGAAACTAGTTTCTAATTACTTTGTGTGGGCTGGCAAGTGGCATGTGGGAAGTCAGAGTGATCAAAGCCTTGAGCTTGATCACCTCGAAAAATGTCATTAGGTTCCATGAACCAGTAATGGATAGACAAAAACTCACCCTGATATAAACACGACTATACATAAATCAATTGTAGAAATCTGTTTCAACTTTAAAAGAGAATGATGATTTAAAGTTGTCGGCCTAAATTTCAAAGAAAAATGCTTGATATGTAAATCTTAGCTGGAACTCGCTGTGCTAATAAATCTTGAAGAAAAAGGACGTTGATTAGTATCTAATAGAAATGGACACACTCAATAACTTCCCTGATATCTTATAACACATATTACGCAGACATGATCCTGTGTGTTTGGAGTGGAGCACAAAACCCAAGTAAGACTAATTCAAGAATAATAAAAAGGTAAATTTCTGCTATAATGTTCTCTCAAAATGTTGTTAACCATTAACAGATTATTGATATATAAGATGCTATGTTGGTTCATAAATTTGTTAATATATACAGATCTAACTGATTTGAGAGACAGAGAGAGAGATTCAGGGAGCTTCTACTAGATCTAAGCGGTAATTTTCTACACAAATTTTTTTTTGATAAGATTACCCTCAATGAACGGCATTTTTGTACTGGGATTTGCAGCTACACACTGTACAACAATACCACATGTCAGTGAAAACATAAAAGTGAGCTCTAATGCCACAAAACTTGAAACAATGCATCTTGGATACAGAATAAATGGAACTACTTTATAATTGGCAGTTTCTACCTAGAAGTATACAGAAACTAGAGTATCTAACAGAAGCTTATAAGCAAGCCTTCACTATCCATGCTGCTCGAACTGTGAAAACATGGCCTCCTCTTGGACATTGTAATCCTTTCTCAATCTATTCTCTTAAACATTAATGGAGAAGAAAAGAACAGTTGCTTGGGTGGATTCTCTAATTCGTTTTTTGCCTATTCCTTTCCTTTCGAAACTAGTAACTAATCTGTTTATTTCCCACAAATTTGTCTCAACTTTCTTACCCGCAGCAACTCCATGGCTTCATGTTTAACACCGATCTGTTTATTGTCAATTGTCTCAAAACTTTTAATTATTATGCTCGTTTGCAATGAGACCTCTTTATCTATTCAGAATACCATGTTTAAGTTCTTCTCACAAGGACAGCAAATAAAAAAGAAAAGAAAAAACTGATAAATGACATCAAAGCCATCCTAACTGAGAAGAGGATGCATGACACATCCACAGAATCTTAATGTAAATTCTTCTTTAACAATACATATCAAAGAACACCAACCACCCCCGCACCCCACAAAAAAAAAAAACGAAGAAGAAAACAAGAAAATTAAGGTATAACTGACCTGAAAAAGAACAAGGGCATCAGAAACCCGATTTGAAACTCTATCAGTAAGCGTTGGAATTGGGGAATGCAGTGAATGGTATACTGAAATTATTTCCTGAAATGATGGTAGTGGTAGTTAAAAAGTTTAAACAAACTATTTGATGGAAGTCACAATATATTTTATTTATGTTGATTCAAACAACATACAAGCACTGGAAAAAAAAAACAAAAAACAAAGCCAAACTCTCAATACCTGTAGAAGTATAGAGATCGTACCAACAGAGTGCCATAACAAAGGCGCCATCTCTTCACAAATATCCCTATTCTGAAACATAAAGGGGCTAAAGTGAAAATATGAAATAATGACAAGTCCAAATGTGCATTTGGTTATTGAATGAGACAAGTCATTGTAATTAATTTGGAAGATCTATATCTATGAAATTATAACAGCGATAAACAAAAATTAAGCTCACGTCTACTTAATTTACTTTAAAATGGTGCCACTTGTTACACGTCAGGAAATTAAATTTAACTATCAACAAACACTACATTTAACAATTAGCGAAAACTTTTCATGCCTCTTCAACCAGTTCCTTATAGGGATGAAACTAAGTCATTGCTAGAAAAGGTCACGTTCCAAGAAAAGGATTATATCGGTAGTTTATCGGTTGGTTATCCTTTAATAATATCAACAGTAACTATTATGACCTCTGCAACAAGATATTGTCCTTAAAACCCAGAAGTCACATTTATGTGCAAAATCTCATGGCCACAATCACAAGGAAGCAAAAGAATTTATAAAGAATGCAGGTTCTATTCACGTCTAGAAATACAGATTCATAAGATAATATTGAAAAGACATTAAGGAAACAAGGTAGTGACTTGCCCAATTAGCTCGAAACATAAAAGCATTGATCACAATTATAGAAAGGCAGAAGGTTGAAATAATGACTATGACATACTGCAATAATGGAATGAGTATCACTATATATTAATACACATTGTTAAATGTTAAGGGGATGTTGATTAAAATTCTAAAACACTACAAGAAAACATAAGATTTGCAACTGCACAAATCAGTCGCAAATTTGCAACCAAACCAGCACTTTGCAACCAAAATTTATTATTTATTTTATTTCCATTTGCAACTGCACATGTGGATGCAATTTGAGGCAATTGAAACATGGTTGCAAAATTAGCAAATCTAAATACTCCAAATACATTTAAAAATAAGTAAAATAAACTTGTGATGCAATATTATTCATCTTCATTAAAAGATAAAGATAGGAATTATTTAGTACTTATAGCTTAGAGAAAAGCAAGCCCTCAATGCAGTTAGTTTGTCCTCATTGTACGATTTAGCCAAATGAAACGAGAAGGCGTTTTTGCGTTATGTGCCTAAAAGCACTTTTAATTGAACAAGTGATGCTTTAGAAATAGTTTGAGATTCTTTATGGTCTTAGGCATTTTATTTTTTATTTTCTTATTAAGTTGAATTTTTAAAATTTGTTTGAATTTTGTTGGTTCTCTTTTGTTTTCCTCTTTCGTTCAGGTCATGAAACTTGAATGTCTGTAACCATTGTCTATAACAGGCTAACTCTTATGTATGATTAGAACTTCTACATTTTACTAGTAGTTTTGAATTCATTAATATTTAATTAAAATACCACCTTATTAATTCGACGATCTCCTTATCATATTCATTTCGATCCAATCTGTCATTGAGACCACATTTTAAAAATACAATTAATCCAAGATCCATTCAACATAAATGCTCCTTGACTAATGCAGGCTATAAACAACAACACTCATTTCCTTCTATTTTTATCGTAGAAAAACAAAGTGTTCAAAAATACTAATAAAATCATCCAGGAAAAGGTTTGTCACGATGTGGATTTGTTTATAGTGATAACGGTGCCCATTCTCCTTGGAACTTGACACTAAGCAACATTAATAGCACCGTCAATTAATTCTATTGTCAACATTCAAGCACCTAATTCGAAAGGGGATATTCCTATTCTTTCATAAGCTTATATATAGCAGGGCTAAACCTAAATATTTCAAAAAAGAAATGGACTACCTCTATCCATGCTTGTCCAATATGTATAATGATTAGAATCACTTTATTAACACCAACATCAGGAACAATTCCATGCATGAGCTTTCAATGCACATACTAAAACAATCTTTAGAATAACCACCAAGAACAAAATAATTTCTTCATCTGTTTGATGAAGCTCGCCATAAAATATCTTCAGAGCGCAACCGAGGATCCAAATTAGGTTCAGCGTCGAATCACTTAAAAAGCATAAAACTATGACTTAATGGAAACCTATTACCTTTAAAAGCATCTAGACAAACAGAAACTATATATATTAACCATAAAATTGACCCCCTATCATGTTGCTGACTGTTGGAACTTCGGTTTCTTGAGAAGCAAATCCGAAACAGAAAAATCTCAGTGAGCGTATCTAACATAAAAAGTAACTTTATCAAATAATGACAAAACAAAAAAAAAAGAATCACGCATAAAAATATCTGTGAGGCTCTAAATCAAAGGGGAAAATTAGGGGAAGATAACTACTCTAATTCACTGGTGTGTTTAAGAAGATTGCATGTATGTAATTTCAAAAGAATTCTTGATAAATGCCCTTCCAATTATATGCATTTATTATTATCACAAATTCAGAAATAAGATTTATGTATGGAGTAAAGGTATATGCAATTAGATTCAGACGAATAATTTTTATTTTTTTTAAAAAAAGAAACAACAACAAACAAGTATCGAGCATCGAAAGAATTAAGTGGTTTTCTCAAGAACATCTCCATCACATCCGCCTTCCAACACCTATTCTACTCTTTAATCAAGACATTAAGGCCACCATGCAACGCTGATAATGATTTAGAACAGTTCAAAAAAAATAAAACCCTCCAAAATTCAAAGGTGATCACAATTCAATTAAAACATATATAGATAATCCTTGACAATCAAAGAAAACCCTAAATATAAGATTATACGAACAAAACAAGGACCAACAAAAATTCTTTTCCTTCTCTCTCTAATACCTTTGAAAGGAGATGAAGGGCACGTTCACGGGTTGCGTCATTATTAAGGGCTTCAATCAACTGAACCACTGAAGCCGTTTCTCGGGCTCTATAAGCGGCCTCGGACGGGTTCCTGCTTCCGAACTGCAATTCCGGCCACCTATACATTGTTGGTCTGTATATTTATCTACAGCTGGCAGGCTAACTGACAGTACTGGTCAGCCCCGAAAACAAGAAAAGCGAGACGTACGTAAAGAAAGAGAGTAAGACAACCTTGCCTCTCTCTCTAAATCTCGAATAATATCGTTTTACTATCTATCTATCTATCTATATCTTCTACAAGTAGCAGGCGGATGGGAAGCGAAGCAAGAGCATTCTTTTTTTTTTTGTTTTTTTTTTATTAACGTGGGTGTCCGGGCCAGTTTACGCGCACCACGACTAATCTCATGGTCCACTAGACATCCTGCAAGCCTCAGTGAACAGGTTAGGCACCACGGGGGTGACAGGCATACCACACAGCAAGGAACCAGCAGAATCAGGACACCACTCGCCAGTTCCATTTCCACTGAGACTCAAATCAAAGTTCAAAAAAAGACGAGCAGCGCCTTACGCCACTAAGCTACAAGCTGCTTGGTGAAGCAAAAGCACTCTTTATATGCAGTGATGAGGGGAGTGCTTTCTCTTTTAAGCTGGGGGTTATAAAGGGGTTTTCACTTGTTTTTGTTGCCTTTTCGAGGATATGATCACAAGAGATTGACTGGAATCTTCACGCTACTATCGCGGTGGGCCAAAGGAAATATCCAACCCAAAAATTTAATTTATTAAATGAAATTTTAAAATTATTTTATTATAGTTATAAAATAATTATTTTATTAAAATATAGTTTTCAATTAGACTCCTTAATTAATCACAGTCATTTTGATTAAATGTTGTGTACAATAAAGCATGTATTGGTAATATTGAATAGTTAATAAATAGTTTGCACATAAATTTTATTCCGAATCTATACCTTGCAAGAGGGAAAAATCTTAAAAAGACATATCTATCTTAACTATTTTAATACTTGAGTAAGTTTTTTTTATGGTAAATTAATGGATTGGTAATTAATTAAATATATTTACACATGTAATACAATTTGTTGGGTTTTCACCATATTAAAAAGCCTAGTATACTTTGGAAAAATATTCTTAATATAGACTCAAGTTAGTATGTATTTTGACTTTGTTAATGTAATAATGATTTTACTTTTCTCATAAAAATTTATTAAATTGATTATTAAAGATATTAAGATTTTTTTACAAAAATTTATTAATCATTATTAAATTAATAGGAATACATAAATCTTTCCAAAAAATAATTGGCATGCATAGCACCTTCTAATAGTCAAATTAACATCATCGACATGGCAATACGATGACAATAAATTTTTTTCTTCTCCTTTCACTTTTCTCTCTTCTCTCTTTAAAAATCACACTAGCCATATATTACATTTAGACATCGCGGCAACTGATTAAAGATTATTTTAATTGAAAAAAAAACAGATATCTAACATCTTGTTCTTTTAGGGGAAAATGTCTTGTTCAAAGAGTCGTCAGCTAGTATTATGGTCGTTAGGAACCCTTACTGGTCAACAAAGATTCTATGATACGAGACTGGTTACACAAAAAAAAAAGATGCTATCATCTCTTAAGCGTCCTACCTAAAGTAAGTTGCATTGCTGGTTTTGTTTAAAATTTCTAAGAATTTGTTCTTTTTTTTTCTTTTTTATTATTTCTTTCATGTTCCTGACTTTGATGTCAGTGAACAATTCTTATGAATATTTCTAACTCTGATGTTGGTAAATATTGCACAAAACCAAAAATACGATATTCTTGACTTTGACGTCAGTGAATATTTTCATAAAAATGAATTTGAAGAAGAAACTTTTTTTTTTTTTATCCTTTATTATTATTTTTCCTTTTTAGATGAAAGTAAAAAAAAACATTACACAATATATTTGCGTTTAATAGTAATAGTCAACAGACTGAGCACATTTACAAGAAATATAAACACAAGAAAAAAAATAAAACAAATGTGAGAGACCTATAAATAAATCAATGAAGATTCCCAAATGTTTTTGAATTTTTTAATATCTAAAAAGGACTTGTTTGACCAAATATCTAACCAAAATGGATATAAAAATTATGGTCAAGGCATAAAGGTGTGTTTTGCCAAACACACCCTTAACAAACACAATGTGGATTGGCTAGGCCTAAAGCCTAAACCTGACCAACTCTTTTCTTTTTTCTTTTTGGATTGGATCTAGCCTAGCTATGCGTAAAAGGTTCACGCATGCATGCAATAATGATTAGTTAATTATTTTAATAAGGAAGGAAGAAAACTTATCTAGGCGTGTAGTTGTTGGAGGAGAAGTCGAGGAAGACTAGGCTAAATAATAGAGGAGTTGAGAGGGCGGTGGTTAGTATATGGTTCACCGCTCTTTTTTTTTTTTATGTTTCTCTTCTTTAGAGTTTCTAGTAATGACCTTCTATTGGAGTCTTTTTTTTCAGGATTTCTCTCTAATTATCCTTCCTCTCTTTTCTTTTTTCTTTCGTACACTAAGATTAGTATTTATAGTGAAAAAGTCTTATTGCTTGTAAAAAGTAAAGTCTCAATCAAACTCATTATCTTTTTTAAAGTTCGAATTCGAAAGGATCATCTTGAGGATTATCTTGAAGGTAATAATCATCTTGAGGATAGTGATAGAATAACAAAGGCACATTATAATATCTAGTTTTTACGCAAATTGACAAATCACACTTTTCATCGAAATAAATCTATGATCTTTTAATTTTATATTTTAAACTCTATAAAATTAAATTAAAACCCAATGGGCTATAATTGAGTTACAACACCATATATAATTTTAAATTTATCCTCTAATTTATTTAGTTGTCAAATACAATTCATGTTTTCTTCTTCTTCTTTTTATGCTCTTATCCTTTATGTAAAATCTTGATTTCTTTTCATTTTCATCTTTCAAATCCAACTTGTGATATTTTATTTTTAAAAAATTTAGTCATCATTTTTTTATTGTTTTTTAGTTATTTTGTTAAATTGATTTTTTTTTTCCAATTACATAATTTAATTAAAAAAACGTATTTTTATTTTTAAATTTAATCTTGATCCTCATTCTTTTAATTTTTTGTAAATTTAATTTTTCCTTTTAATTTCACTATTTAATAAAAAATAAATTTTTATTTTTATTTTTATTTTGATCACCATTCTTTTAATTGCTATTTTTTGTTTAAGATCATTTTGTATAATTTTTTTTTTTAATTTTAGCTTTCAACATTTGATTGTGTTGAGAATTGGGTTTTGTAGTTTTTATCATATATGGTACTTCTGTTTTAATGATCAAATTTAAAAATTTAAAAAATTAACACGGACTGACATTGTTTTTTTTTATTATATAATTTCTTTGCAACTTTTATCTCTCGACATTGATTTTTTTTTTTTAAAAAAAGCTTTGTGATTTGTTTTCTATTGGTATTCCAACCTGATAACATGAGCGCGGGTTTAATGGTTAAATGTTTATTATGCTAACTTGGATTGAATTGGACTAATTTTTTGTTTTTGTTTTTTTGTAAACTAAATTTTATATTTTTATATTTAATTGGTTGAGAATTGAGTTATATTGTTTAACTTATTTTGAAATAGTATTTATTTTTAGGTTATCATAATCATTTTTTTTTGTTAATTTGATTTATTTGTTATTATAATCTATTTTTTTTATTATCTAATTAAAATAAAATCAATTTATCTAATTAAGTCCAATATATTATTCAAATCATGAATTTGTTGACATATTTTAAAATGGTTGAACATCATTTTTATCGAAAAGAAAACTCAAAACCCTCAATGTCGCACGGGTCCACAGCTGAAATTAAATTTTCATAATTTTTAGACATGTTATTTTGAATGCTTTAAGAAATGATTATAAAAAATTAAAAAATTCACAAACTTAAAAAGACAAATAACATTTTGATTAAACCACCACCACGATGCTTAAATTAACACAGTATCTTTATTACTTTAACATTTTGGTCTTGGTCTTGAGTTGCTTGGTTCTTGCCGTTGTTTTATTAGTATTATTTTTAATATAAGTTTTAATTTGTAATTCTTTTGTAAACTTCAATGCATAGTTTTTAAACTTTACTTACAATAACTCTGAGATCAAAAGAAAGATAGGTTTATTAGGGTTATTTTGGGTCAACTGAATTTTTTATGTTATAAAAAATGTAATATCATTTTAAAAAATTATAATAAAATTTTTTAATGAGTTTTAACTAAATTTACTTGAGTTTATAATCAAATGAATTTTTATTTTTATTTTTATTAAAACTTGATTAATCTAGACTTGAATGACTCAAATTATAAATCAACCCATAATTAAGTTTATATTTTTGGGATTGCATTTTGAAAGTATTTTAAAAAAGTTTAAAATTTTATTTATTTATTTTAAATTAATATTTTTTATATTTTCAAATCATTTTTATGTATTAATGTCAAAAATATTTTTTTAAAAAAATATTATTTTTAAATAAAAAATATTATTAAAAATAATCACTATTATATTTTAAACTACATTTAATTTGGTTTAAAACAGTGATGTAATGAGGTTTTTTTTTTGAAATTTTTAGCAACCATGCTATTAATTAATATTAGGAAACATTTCTATCAGATTCTGAAGATTTTGGGCCTGGTAAATCTTTTGAGCTTTCAAAATGTAGAGAGACAGCAAAGAAATTGGAATATCCAAGCTACGGGTACACGTGTTGCTCATGCAAGTCAGTTTTTAAAGATCCATCCAAAAACAGAGGAGACAACTTATATGAAGATTTTTCATTTCCATCTCTAACTCATGTGACCTCTGCTTGCACGTGCGCACGTGCAAAATCCTAGATACAAGAAGTCAACTCTGGGGGTTTCGTCAATTCATGTATGAAAGGCTGTACGGTATGAAGATTTACCGTACAGCCTCTTTCTCTTATGTTTGTCAGCTCAAGGATAAAGCGGCTTCGCAGAAGAAGGTCCCCTTACTCTTTCAATATTTTTATTAAGACCCTGAACTTTATATTTTACTAGTCAATTTGATGTTGATGAATGATCCAAAACTATCTTGAACTATTAGTCCACAATGACTTAATCTCTAACATTTGAAATTTTTTATTTTGTTTCTTAAATTGATTTTTGATATAGAAAAAAACACATCTATCTAAGTTACACGTGATATTCCAAACCCATAAATTTATTACAAATATAG